GACCAATCAGCGGTGACTCTGGATGACAATATTTTCTGACTTTTTCAGTGTTTGTTTCAAACAAAACATAACAATGTCAACATTTCCTCAACCGCTGTTTCTATATATGCGTGCTGTTAGGTAAATGAAGACATGCAATCAATATTGTACACGTGCCCATTGGAAACCAGATTTATTGATGAGCTCCACGAAGAAAACAGACAAAGTAATGCAGTTCTCTATTCATTAATACATCATCGAATCAATGTTTTTTAAATACAAGCTGTGTAAGTTGACTCGACTTGATATTAGCTTCTTGCAATCACAGCTCAGATTGGAAGAGGGAGAATTTGTGCTCATGTGCTGACATGCTGACAGGAAGGGAGGGCAGAGTGGCAAAGAGATTGAGTTATCAGTCTGCTGCTTCTCCGTTCACTGTCCATTCACAGGAATCCGAATGCACACGTCTAGTTCTTAGATTGCTGGAGTGGAGGCGGAGAAGAGGCTGCAGGGGCCAAAGGTTCGGGTGAGTATATCTTTGTTATTTTAGACCTTAAACTCTGGCCCTCCAGCTGTGCTTTAACTACAAATACCATTATCCCTCTGCCTCTGGGAGTCATGCCTGTGGCTGTCAGAGTCTTGCAATGCCTCATAGGACTTGTTGTTCAACAACAGCTGGTGGGCCGGAGTTGCCCACCCCTGGCCTAGATGAAAACGAGCACTTAACCCTTGCAGTGTGGGGGTAGCCCCACTGCAAAGCTTAAAGGAGAACTATGAGGCGAGTGAAGATCACTCATCCTCATAGTTCTAGCCGACCTGTGACAATGAATCTGTCACATGTCGGCTCAATAGATCAGGAAGTGAGCGAACACATATCGGCGCTCGCTCACTTCTCGATCCTGTGCTTGCAGAGAGCCGTGACGGTCATTCACGGCTCCCTGCAGGGATTCCCCCCCTCCCCTGTCTGAACCTCCAGCGCTGAGTGGCGGAACAGACAGGGGAGGTGGCGGGCACAGCTGCCTCTAGATTGGCAGAGCAAGCTGTCACTCACGCAGCTGGGTGGATCCAGACAGTAATGTCGGGATCCGTCCCGGCTGCGGCATCTGAGTATACCGCGAGTTGTAGTTTGCGGTATACTGAGCTTTGGGTGATGGGAGGATGCTAGTTTGTGTCCTCCCGTGACCCTTAGGAGAACTATGGGGAAAGCCCTGACCCCATAGTTCTCCTTTAACTTTTCTTCTTCCCGGAGTTCTTCTTTAACAGTGCACTCGCACAGAACAAATATACATGCAGTCTCACTCAACGAATAAGGACAATTTTTATAGATAGACCCCATAGTGTGAATATGTCTTCAGAACCATGGGTTGCAGATCAACTCCATGCATTATTTTTAAATGCAATTTATATGCAATTTAAAAAAAATCCAAACTTGACACGTGCCTAGCCAGAATCATTCTTTTGAATATTCCATCTTAAAATCTAACATCTGATCGGCTTCTCGGACATCTTTATTTCCCTTTGCCCCAGATTTTACAGACCATCCTTGTTCTTAGTAAACACTGTTCCATTTTTGTTTTCTTGCTCTTTGTTATTCTTTTTAAGCTTTCAGGTTCCAGTGTATTCCCATGTCCATCCTCCTCCGACTGTCAGGATTGTTTGTGTTCAGATTCATCAATTTAATTTAATTGGCTTCACTCTGCGTTTGAAAATGCAATTAGAGCAGTGGTACCTTTTCTTTCATTATTTCGGGACACACGAGAATTCGCTCTTTCATGCAGAGGGGGGAACCGCGGCCAGGATCTACTTTAAGCACAAGAAAATAATGTTAATTAAACGCGCGCTGTCTTGTCCAAGGTGCTGTCTAACGATAAGCGATGGCTGCAATATGGATTCGCAGAATGAGCGTTGCTTTGTTTGTGGAATTGTGATTAAATTGTTGGTTTCGACTTTAAGTGAGTGGTTTTTGTGTTTTTTTTGCATTCAGGGCTCAGTCGGTGTCCTCATATTGAGCTTTCTGCAATTTTCTGAAAAGTGTACAGCCCACTGGCGTGCGTCGTGCTTAGAGTGAAGTTAATACAGCTGTGATCTTGTTATTTGCGAAAGGTCGATGAGAGATAAACCAAGGTGTAATCATGCCGGAATGGAAAGGGAATTGCATTTGTATGTGGCGTATATTTATTTAGTAAGTGTGCTGGCAAATCTTTGAAGCTACGATTTAAATGTAATCAGCGCGGAACACCAAAGGAGTTTTTATGGGCTTAATCTATCTTTCCCAGCTGGCTACGTGGAATATAGGAGCATAAAACAAAATAACTTACTAGCTTTGTCCTATAAAGCGATATGTTTTCAGACTGCTCTATAATAAAATAATTTATAGGTGGTTTATTAACACTTTTATCTTCGGTGGCCCCGTTTCATCAAGCTTCAGTACCGCTTAAAGAAAGTACATTTGCCCTTTAAATATTCCTCTGAGTGGCAGCCACCTACCTACATACTTATCTTCAGCCTGCCTTCTGAGTTCTTTGCTGTGTAGCCCTGCCCAACTGTCACTTGCTCATTAAGAAGAAAGGGGGAAAGTCACCAGCACATTGATTTCTACTTTATCGATTCGTCTTTACTGACGTTGGGTAATCATGGCATCACAGTAAGAAGTAAGGTTTCTGAACCGTATAAAGTTCCTTCATCAAGAAAACAAAGTTTGCCTGATGAAGGAACCTTCATTGGTTCTGAAACAAAGTTTGCCTGATGAAGGAACCTTCATTGGTTCTGAAACAAAGTTTGCCTGATGAAGGAACCTTCATTGGTTCTGAATCAAAGTTTGCCTGATGAAGGAACTTTAATTGGTTCTGAAACAAAGTTTGCCTGATGAAGGAACCTTATACGGTTCTGTAACAAAAGTTTGCCTGATGAAGGAACCTTAATCGGTTCTGTAACAAAGGTTTGCCTGATGAACTGTTAGGGAACCAAGAAACCAGACAGGAACTTAAAGTGTGGGTTTAAAAAATAAAAGGAAACAACAATAAACTTAAATGCAAAAAACAATGGAGAAAACAATGGAGACAGAGGTTAGAAGCCACAGCGGGTAGTCAGCCGAACCATATCAGGGAGCAAGGAGAGCAGGATGAACGGAAACAATAGCTGGAGTCAGGAACCAGGAAATCCGTGAGCCAGGGTCATACACAGAGGACAGGAACAATAGTGAACCTTGGTAGATCAGAACAAACGCAAGGGCGGGGACTGAATGGACAAGCACATGGTAAAATAGTGAGATGAGCAACATCACTCTGAGACCGGAATTTGTCTGGATTTTTGTCAGAAGTTGCAGCATTGTCAAACACTGGAGGAGGAAGGGTAAGAAACCCTGACATGAAGGGACCTTTTATAGTTCTAAAACAAAGTATGCCTGATGAAGGAACCTTACACAGTTCCGAAACAAAGTTTCCCTGATGAAGTGTTAGGGAACCAAACAACCAGACATAAACTTAAAGTGCAGGTTTAAAAAATAAAAGGAAACAACAATAAATATAAGTGCAAAAAACAATGGAGAAAGTCTAACACATCATCAGTGCCAAGACAGAGGTCAGAAGCCAAAGCGGGTAGTTAGCCGAACTAGGTCAGGGAGCACGGGGAGCAGGATGTACGGAAACATTAGCCGATAACAGGAACCAGGAGATCAGTCAGCCAGGGTCATACACAGAGAACAGGAACAACAAAAGTGCACTTAGTTGATCAGAATAAATGAAAGGGCGGAGTTTGAATGGACAAGCAAATGGTAAAATAGTGAGCTCAGCATCATAACTCTGAGACAGGAATTTGTCAGGAGTTTTGCTATTAGTTGCATAATTGTGATGTTTATGGGTTTGGCCATAGGAGGGTGCCAAAGAGGAACAGCATTGCCAAACATACTGCAAAACAAGTCATGCACAGCCAGCTGGAGTAGGAAGTGTAAGAATCCTTGACATAAAGGAACCTTATTTGGTTCTAAAACAAAGTTTGCCTGATGAAAGAACCTTATACAGTTCCCAAAAAAAGTATGGGTTGCTATCAGGAGCTCAGTGAATGGTCAAACATACCCATAGACACACTCCTAAACCTTGTGGATGCCTTCCCAGAAGAACTGAAGCTGTTATAGATGCAAAGGGTGGGTCAACTCAATATTGAACCCTACGGACTAAGACTGGGATGCCATTAAAGTTCATGTGCGTGTAAAGGCCGGTGTCCCAATACTTTTGGCAATATAGTGTGTGTGTGTGTATATATATATATATATAATCTTGTAACAAGGACACTCCACTGAAGACCGGAGGTGCAAGTACAATGCAGTTTATTTGCTTTCAAAACGAAAGATAACACGAAATCCAACATAAATAGCTTGCTGTAGCATAACAGATAGGGGCTCACCAATCCTCGAGTTGTCACGTACACTCAAGGTGTCCCAGTCTTTTAACAAGTCTCTCTCGCAGCACTGCTGCTCCGGCCTCAATCTTTAGGGCCACTGTCTGGTTCCTCCAGACAACGGCAATAACATGCCAATCCTCTCAATATGGTTCACAAACCCGCAGCTCCCTGCTGCCCTGGCCTCCACACTGACTCCGGGGTGGAGCTCTCCTGACTCACAGGTGGGGCCCTGAACACATCCCAGCACACACTTCATGAGGGATGTAAACAGGTGCACAATCAGGTGCTGGTCACCACCAAAGCATGGACCCAGGAATGGAGATTTCTTCCCACCCAGAGCTCTAAGAAATCTCCTGGCTCCAGGATCCCAACCTTGATCCAGAAAACCCAGAAAGAACTGAAAAGGCAGTTCTCTCCTGGTACCAGTAATGTCTTCCTGGAGCCACTCAGCCCCTCTGGCTGAGAACCCTGGGTGACTTTGAGGCCACCTAACACCGTGGTATTGCCTCACAATGCCACAATATATATATATATATTGGTGAATAGCTTTTTTGTTAAAGTTGTACAAAGTATGAATAGTGTATGATCTGTTGTCTCATCTTCTATTGTATTTCATGTTTCAGGTCCCTGGGGAAGATGCATGGGAGATGAATGCGGGCCCGGTGGGATACAAACAAGGGCCGTGTGGTGCGCCCACATAGAGGGATGGACGACCCTCCCCACAAACTGCAAACAGACAGAGAGACCTGAAAACCAACAGAACTGTTTTAGGGTGTGCGACTGGCACAAAGAACTATATGACTGGCAGCAGGGCAGCTGGAACCAGTGCGCGCCAATCACGTCCAGGTTGTTGGAAAAACCTTCAGAGTGCACGAAGGGCGAGGAGGGAATCCAGACCCGGGAAGTCATCTGTTTACAAAAAGCCACAGGGGGAGAGGCTGATGACAATATATGCGAATACTTCGAGCCCAAACCCAGGCTGGAACAAGGGTGCCTTATTCCCTGCCCTCAGGACTGCGTGGTGTCCGAGTTCTCACCCTGGTCGGAATGTTCCAAGACGTGCGGCAGCGGCTTGCAACACCGTACCCGCCACGTGGTAGCCACTCCCCAGTTCGGTGGGTCAGCCTGCCCGAACCTCACAGAGTTCCAAGTTTGCCAGATGTTACCCTGCGATGGGGATGAAAACATGTACAGCCTTAGCGTGGGACCCTGGAGCTCCTGCTCGATACCCCTGTCCAGACACGTACGACAAGCCGGGAAGAGGGGGAGGAACAGGGAGCGGGCAAAGGAGAGAGAAAAGGCTGTGAAGGACCCAGAGGCACAAGAGCTCATTAAAAAGAAGAGAACCCGCAATAGGAAAAACCGCCAAGAGAACAGATATTGGGATATACAAATTGGTTATCAAACACGAATCGTCACCTGTATGCACAAGAATGGAAAAACTGCAGCGCTGAGGTAATTAAATAATTTATTTATAGCAGATTAGGGTTAGTCATTAAAGAAAACAGAATAAATTGAGATAAAGTGATGCAATTCATACAATTCATTGCTTTTTGCCATTAAATAGTAATTCCACTTTTGTTGAGAAACAAATCAATCCTCTCTGGGTGATCTGTGTACATTGCAAGAATTTTAACAAACTTTGTTGCATTTTCCTATCTGTTTCTGTTCTGAAGAAATATCTGTTTGTTGCAGCGTGTCCTTTCCAGACTGAGGGTACGTTCACACCAGATGCACTGCGTTCCAGCCCGATTCTGGCCGGAACGCACTGCATCGCATTTCGGCTGGCTCACTTTTTTTTGTGGGGCAGGATGAGGTGTGGTGGGCCATTGAAGTTAATAGCACCGTAGCCACTCCTTCAGGCCGCAATGCGATCGCCCCCACACAGGATCGCAAGGCACATTGTGCCTGCGGTCCAGTCCGGTGCGATCAAAATGCTGCAAGCACTATTGTGATCGCACTGGACCGCAGGCACAATGTGCCTTGCGATTCTGAGCGGGCGATTGCATTGCGGCCGGAGGGCATGGCTACGGTGCCATTCACTTCAATGGCCCGCCATGCCCCCTCCTGCCCCACTAAAAAGTGTGTTCCGGTCAGAATCGGGCCGGAACGCACTGCATCTGGTGTGAACGTACCCTGATCCCTGAATGAGGGGGTCTGGGTTCATTATAATCAGCTGGTTGTAATGAGGGAAGGTGCAGTGTCGGCATCCCTTTAGTAGTAATTATTTCTTAGGGAGTATCTCACCAAAAATTAAACTTTTATTGCAAGGGATGCCAAAAATTATACTTGTATCTTAGTGCAGGGAAAATCCGTCTTTGAATGACAGAAGCAGGAAGTGACATTTCTGGGGGAGTTCTGCACACCAACTGTAAACGGAACGCCTCCAGGTTGCCATATTGCATTTAATTTCTTGACAGATTTAAAACATTACAGCAGCTACAGTTTTTAAATGGAAAGGTCACTTTTAATAACATTAAATTACAAAATGGCATTGTGTGACAATTATATATACGCTATATTACTTTTTTAAAAATATTTTTTCATTTTTGTATTTGAAAGTGGAGTTTTCCTTTAGCTATTTATTTAATAGCAGGATATACTTAGTCATCAAAGAAAACAGAAAAAACTGATATAAAGTGATGCAATGTATTGTCATGCAGCATTGAGGTCATTTAATAGTTTTTTGTATCTGTTTGTTTATTTATTTATAGCAGGTTAAGGTTAGCCATTAAAGAAAACAGAAAATGTTGATATAAAGTGAAACATTTTATTGTTGTGCGGCAGAGATTCTTTATTTAATTATATATAGATAAGTAGGGTTAGTCATGAAAGGAAACAGAAAATGTTGATATCAAGTAATACATTGTATTATTGTATGGCATTGAGGTCATGTATGTATGTATGTATGTATGTATGTATGTATGAATTAATTTATTTGTATTTATTTATTTTTAATAGGGTAGGGTTAGTCATTAAAGGAAACAGGAAACGTTGATATAAAGTGATGCAATTATACAATTTATTCTTGTTTGGCATTGAGGTAATTTATTTAATTTTTAATTTGTAGCCGGGTAGGGTTAGCCACTAAAGATAAATTAAAGGAGAACTATGAGGTGAGCGATTTTCACTCATCCTCATTGTTCTAGCCGACGTGTGACAATGAAACTGTCACACGTCGGCTCAATAGATCGGAAAGTGAGCGAACACATACCGTCGCTTGCTCAATTCTCGATCATCTCCCTGCAGGGAGCCGTGAGTATCAGTCACGCCTCTCTGCAGGGACATGAGATTCACCCCCTCCCCGCTCCGATTCTCCAGCACTGACTGGCAGAATGGACGGGGGAGGGGGCGTGTACAGCTGACTCTGCCTCTAGATAGGCAGAGCCAGCTGTCACTCACGCAGCTGGACGGATCTCGACAGCATTGTCGGGATCCGTCCCGGCTGCGGCGGTCTCGGTATACAGTGAGCTGTAGCCCGCGATATACTGAGCTTCGGTTCATGGGAGGATGCTAGTATATGTCCTCCCATGACCCTCAGGACAATTATGGGTAAAAACACTTACCACATAGTTCTCTTTTAAACAGAAAACCGCTGAGATAAATTGAGACAGTTGATACAATGTATTGTTTAAATCTGAACTCCAGGCAAACAGCTAAATACACAGATAAAGCATATATATGGGAGCTGTTTTACCCGACAAATGAATTGTATTCCTGTCCAAAGTACAGAATAGAGAGTCCCTCTGCACTCCTTAAAGCGTTCCCGGCCCAAATTGTAATAATGATGCTTGCAGTGACAATCACGGATGTCACCGTGCACATCAACAGTAGAGAACAGGAATCACCAGCACTCAATAAGTAGTTTTCAAATAGTAAACGTCCATTTAATCGGACATAATGTCACAAACGAAAGAACCAACGTTTCGGGGCCGCACAGGGTCCCTTCCTCAGGGTAACAACATGTTGGTTCTTTCATTTGTGACGTTATGTCTGATTAAATGGACGTTTACTATTTGAAAACCACTTATTGAGTGCTGGTGATTCCTGTTCTCTATTGTATTCCTGTCCATCCAGTCCTGAGAATTACACACGCTCTATCACACAGCACAGTCCCATCTGGCAGGTCAGGAAGACTTGAGTTTTCTCTGCTGCCTACAAGTCTTGTACTTCGCCCCAGCCTGGGACTGGACACTGAAAGGAGAAGCAGCAGACTGGTGGGCTCATTTTCTTTCTTGCTCTGCTCTCTCCTTTTATCAGCCTACCTTGATAGCACATGCGCACTGCAGCACAGCTTATTGGCTCCTTATGCTGCTTCTCTCTCTCCAGAGTATGAAAGCCATTCATGGGATTTGCCTTGGAATCCAACAAAACAATATACCCATATAGGTTGTGGTGAGAAGGGGCTAAAGGAACAGGGGTGTCACCCGCCGCATAATGTCAAATCTAACATATTCCGGCAAAATATAAACAACTGTTGTCACCGCTAGCTCCACCCAACTGTTTCATATTGGCCGGCACCTGCCAGAGTCTTCTAGGGTCTTTTAGACACAGATCAGCCTCCCCAGGTCATTTGGGGACGCTGATCTGTCATTACAACTGGGCGGAGCGAGCCGTGAGATCAGCTGTCCTTCGGCCGACCTTTCTCCATGTTGCGGGTGTCACTACGGCTCAGGCAAGCCGAAGCATATGGGTTCGGCTGAGCCTCTCGGCCACCTTCGGCTGCTGTAGGGCTATAGTGAATAGCCCGTATAGCAGCCCTTCGGTTTGACTGAATGGAAGGGCTCCGGCGGCCAAAGTGAGCCTAAGGATCAACCGAAGCTATGGCTGGATCCTTCGGCCCATTAGTGTATAACCCTCCAAGTATTTCGGTAGGTCTCAGATAGAACTCATTTGCTGTCTACTTGAGCGAGGAAATCTTCATTCTCAGTTCATATCTATTTGGGGAATGATTCTTTTTTTATTCTCTACATGGAAAATTGATAATGTCGGAGGTAATGCGGCTGAACGATAAAAAAAAAGAGAGACTCATTACTCTAATTGATCCCTCGTCCCTTTTAATTACCCAGCAACTGATAATTGGTCCAGCTCATCTTGGTAGATTAGCGTTACTCGGGGAACAGTCATGTAAATATATGTAGAATTGGGATCGTTAATCAGACTTGAAACAAGCCGACTGGGATGGATTTTGGAACAACATGGCCAATGGCAGGGGTAGGCAATCCTCGGCCCTCCAGCTGTTTGGGAACTAAAAATTCCATAAGCCATTGTAAGATTCTGACAGCCACAGGCATGAGTTCCAGAGGCAGATGCATGATGGGATTTGTAGGATCAACACAGCTGGAGGGCTGAAGTTTCGCTGATCCTGGCCTATGGGTCATCTGACAAGGCAGTAACATAGTAACCAATCAGATCTCGGGTTTGATTAGCTTACAAAAGTCAGAAAAATGGCTGCTGGTGTCCTGTTACTTGGCAGCAATTACAGCTGTTTGCTCCATGGTGTTAAAGTGGACAAAGCAACATTTTAATATTAAGCACAAGTAATGTGGAAGTCTAGAGTGTGTTAAAAGCATGAGAGCACCACGATAACTTAAATAAATCCAGTAAAGTAGATAAAATATCCAACGCGTTTCAGGGGGCTCTAGAAGAAATGGCAGCACCCTGCCCTACTACGCCTCTCAAGAGCCCACAGCCCTGATACAAGCAGTAGGCTGGATCCTGGGAGGAGTTATGCAAATATCATAATGGCTTGATGGGTGGGTGCCAGTCTGGAGGAGTGGGCAATCCTAAGCAGGCTACATGCAGACCACCCTAGGTCACATCCACCTGTGAGGCTGAGCCTCTATGATGGAAATCACTATATATATATATATATA